TGGCCTCAAGAGTCATGTAAGACCACTGTCTCATTGTTGATTTTCTGTCTAGATGGTCTATTTATTTATGGCAAAGGGGTGTTACTGTTTCCTAGTATAACTGTATTATTGTCAATTGCTTTCTTTATGTCTATTAATATACTTAGAAGTTTCTACTTTGGGTTTATAAATGTTTATAGGAGTGATATTTTCTTGTATTGATCCCTTTATCATAAGAAAATGTCCCTTTTCTTCTCTTGTGACAGTTATTCCTTTAAAGTGTATTTTATCTGATAATAAGTATTGCTACTCCAGCTTTTTTTCACGTGCATTTGCATGAAATGTTTTTTCATTCCTTTATTCTCAGTCTGTGTACATCCTTTGATCTAAAGTCGATCTTTTGTTGACAGCTTATGTGCAGTTCTGTTTTTTTTAAATCTATTCAGCTACACCAGTCTTTCTATTGTATCACTTACTTACATTTAAAGTGGTTATTGAATAGGTATATTTTTATTGCCTTTTTTGTTTTATGATTGTTTTTATAGTTCTTCCCTGTTCCTTATTCTCTTGTTTTTGTCTCTTTTATGCTGATGACTTTTTATAGTATTGTGTTTGGGTTCCTTTTTCTTTATTCTGGTATATCTCATAGATTTTTGTTTTGGGGAGACCATGTACCTCATATATACCTAGCTACTTTTATAGCAGCCTATTTCAACTTGATGCACACTTAAGTTCAAACACCTTCTAAAATCACTACAATTTTTACTCACCTCTCTTATGTTTATGCTTTTGTCATAGTTTTTAACTTTTGTGTGTATTTGTACATGTCCCTTAATTTATTGCATGTAGTTACATGTGCAATCATTAAAATGATTTTACTTTTGTTATTTAACTTTTGTGCTAACTTTATAATTTGTTGATCCGCTGCTTTTACTGTTTGCCTTCGTCAGTGAGATTCCTTCCTTCCTTCCTTCCTTCCTTCCTTCCTTCCTTCCTTCCTTCCTTCCTTCCTTCCTTCCTTTCTTTCTTTCTCTTTCCTGTTTTCTACTTTAAAAGTCCCTTTGACATTTCTTGTGTTTCTGGTTTAGTGGCAATGAAGTCCTTTAGCTTTTTCTTGTCAGGAAACTATATGTTCTTCACTTCTAAATGATTGAATTACTGGGTAGAGCAATCCTGGTGTCAGGTCCTTGCCCTTTATCCCTTTGACTATTTCATGTCAATATCTTCTGGCTTACAAAGTTTCTGTTGAGAAATCAGCTGATGGTTTAGTGAGAGCTTTTACTTAATTGCTTTTTCTTGATACTTAAAAGATTATCTGTCTTTAACCTTTGTCATTTTAATTATGATGTGTCTTGGCATGGGTATCTTTGTATTCATTTTCTTTGTAATTCTCTGTACTTGCTGACTTTGTATGTTATTTTCCTTTGAGAGGATAGGAAAGTTTTCAGTTATTATTTCCTCAAGTAGGTTTTCAGTATCTTGTTCTCTCTCTTCTCCTCCTGGTGCCCATATGATGTGGATGTTGGTATGATTCATGTTGTCCCAGAGGTCCCTTGAACTTTCCTTCTATTTTAAAATTCTTTTTCTTTCCAATTGGGTGTTTTCAGCTACTTTTTCTTCCAATTGCTGATTCAATCCTCTGCTTTATCTAACCTACTTTTTATTCTCTCTGATGTATTCTTTCTTTCAGTTATTGTATTTTATTTTTAATTGGTTCTTTTTTGTTTTATGCCATTTTTAATGTTTTCTATATCTTTGTTGACATTTTCACTGAGTTAATCTATCCTTCCTGTAAGTCCATTGAGCATCCTTATAACCAGCATTTTAAACTTTGTATCTGTTAGACTGCTTGTCTTCATTTCCTTTAATTATTCTCTAAAGTTATTTTGTTCTTTCATTTGGGACATGTTTCCTAGTCTCCTCATTTTGTCTGATTCCCTGTGTTTGTTTCTATGCATCAGGTAGATTTACTACATCTCCTGGTATTCCCAGAGTAGCCTTATGTAATAGATGTTACATAGATTCTGTGAAGACCAATAGTGCAGTCTCCTTTATAACTTTTACTAGGTTATAACCCATAAAGTCTCCTTTATAAGGTGTTCCATGGCTTCTTTTGTGCATACTACACAAATCTTTTGGACTTATAAACATATCCGATTGATAGTATTTCCTATATACAGTGTAGTGCATATGTAATTTAAAATATGCTACTGATTGAAATGTAAACATGCATATGATATCTTCCATAAGTACAAGATTTAGGATGAAAATGAAAGCATGCTGGGTACTTTATTTATAACTTATTTTTCTAAATTATTACTATTACTAATAAATATTTTATTTATTTATTTTTAGAGAGGGTTCATTGGTAGCAGTTTGAATCAAGCCACTATCAATGGCAGCATGATATTCCTTCAGCTCTGGTAGCAGAAGCTGTGGAACAAATTTTGCCGTGACACTTTTCATGCTGAGATCCATCATTAAAATCTCAGACACAGTAGATTTTGGAATCCCCAGGTCAGCTTCTAGTTCTCACACTGTCATTCACCAATCTTTGTAGATTGCAGCCCATACATGTTCAACATTCTCAGGTGTTCTACTTGTTTCAGGCCTTCCAGAACATGGGTCACTTTCAACAGATTCTCAACCTTCTTTGAAGCATTTGTGCCACACTTTTATTTGCACTGCGATCATCCCTGAAAGTCTTCTGAATCATCAGAATAGTTTCCATGGAGGAATGTTCAAGCTCAATATAAAATCTGTCGCAGATTTGTCACTCTATTTGCTGTCATTTTGAATGCAACAGCCACATAGTACACATACTCACCCAATGGCATCTACCACCTTCACTGACTACTACAGTGAAGTTGTAATTGTTCATACATGTGCACAGTTCACTCACCTTGGCTGACAGGTTACATCAAGGTTGCAAAGACTGTTGTCTTTATATTAACATTGGCTGGACTTTTTCCGGATAGACCTTGTATTTCCTATGCTGTACTTTACATCCCTGTAACTATTCTGTAGCTACCAATTTTTACTTCCTAATTCTTTTACTTTTTCACTTGTCCTTCAAACCCCTCTCCTATCTGGCAACTATTAAAACGTTCTCTATATACATGAGTCTGTTTTTGTTCTGCTTCTTTGTTTATTTTTGATTCAGTTGTTGATAGATATGTATTTATTTTTATTTTATAATTCATATTTTATGTATTTTTTCCTTCTTCTTAAAGTGGACTCTAACATATCATGTAATACTGATTTGGTGGTGATAAACTCCTTTAGCTTTATCTTGCTTGGGGAGCTCTTTAATGTCCTTCCATTCTAAATGATATCTTTGCTGGGTAGAGTAATATTGGTTGTAGATCCTTGCTTTTTATCACTTTGAATATTTCTTTTTAATATCTTCTGACCTGCAAAAGTTCTGTTGAGAAATCAGCTTACGGTCTTATGGGAGCTCCCTTGTATGTTAATTAACTGCTTTTCTCTTAATGCTTTTAAGATTCTCTCTGTCTTAACCTTTGGCATTTTAATTATAATATGTCTTGGTATACATTTTGTTTGGGTATTTTAAAAAGGGAGCCAATAATAGAAAAAAATGTTTGAATTCTTTATGAGTGAAAAACATACTTTTGTTACATAGCCTAAACCAGATGACTAATATGAAATGAAAAGATATTATTGTAAAAGTTGACATAAGTGGAGCCATTTTAAAGTGGAGCTAGAGCAGCTGTTCTAGAGGAATGGCCTTGCATGTCTTGCTCCCTGAACTGTTGGAATGTTTAAACTGGGCATAACAACTTTTGGACTAATATAAAGCAACATTGTGTTACAAACAAATGTTTGTAAAGTCAGCAGGGCTACAGATCCTGACAACAAGGAATGATAACTATTGACTTTGTATTTGAAGATAGAACCCATAACTAATCACACATAGCTAAAGGGTACCTCAATTTTTCAAAGCCAATAAAATTCTTTCTTCTTTTCTCATAAAACCCCTTCACTTTCGCAGTATAATTGGAACACTGTATGGGTTTCTGCCTGAATTTGTGTGGCATGACTTGCAATGCTTTGGTCCCAAATAAAAGATTGTTGGCTCTCATTTTGATTTTTAAATTTTAAATAAGCACCATAAAACCATAAATATCAATATTCTTAAAATTATTGTTTGATTTCAGAGGTATTTGAAAAACTACAAAAAGTTACTAAAATTCAGAAATTTCAAAGCATAATCTTAGTTTATGCTCCAGGATTTACTCTAAGTCTTTCATTAAATTGTTAATTATTTCATTAAAATTTAAGTTTAATGTTTAAAAACTCTATTCTTCTTAGAAGATATGTATTTGTAGACTTTTTTCCATTCTAAACCTACCCATTTCCATAAATAAAAAGGCAGATAAAGTTAAGGAGGTGGCTTGTAAATATTGTTCCTTTCAGTAACTTGACATTTAACCCCATCAGTTTACTATAGCCTAGGAAATTAAGAGAACATAAGAGGGAAATCAAATAGTGTTGCTTTTAATTCCCATTTAATTTATGTAAATAAAAACTCTAAATGAAAAAAAAATCAAACTGGGTACTTGAAAATACACCTACATAGCTTCTTACAACTTCCTACATTATACAGGCAAAGGGAAGCTTTCATTCTAAAAATTCCAGATTCTCAAAGTCTCACAGTGAACTGTTTTAAATTTAATCCCGGCCACTAGTCTACCTTAGAAAATAGGGTATACCTACAGTTGGAAAGGACCCATCATGGTCCATGATTTGCTGCAAAACTTGAACCTAAAATGTCACTAAAATTTTCCTTACAGGTGCAATAGCTAAAGCAACTCTGACAGGTTATTCTTGTTACTATGCTATTAAAAGCAGCTGGAAGTAATTTTAGTAAAGAAATATAATTCAGATAACACACTAATGCTTCAAATTTTAAAAATAGATGACGTGCAATACAGAGTATAAACAAAAGAGACACAAAAGTATGTCAAGAGCGAGAAGGACCAATAAATCAGAAGAAACACGTTTAATTTACACTTTCTTCCCTCTGTGAAGCCATTTATACAAGCAGATGCAAATTATTGCAAGGGCAACAACTATAAGAAACCAGAAAACAAATTACATGTAATTATGAAAAATAATTTCCAAGATTCAAAATCTAGCAGATGAAATTAATGTTGGTTACATTTCAGTGGTCAGAAATGTTATTTTATTTAAGCACATATACATTTATATTCCATCTGGACTCTTGATTATCTAAATGCAATTCCCTGGAATCAGTTAAGTAGTTCACAGTAAAGTCTGAGAAGAGTCCTTGTTTGGTTTAGAAAATTACCCAAATCATACTTGTGATGAAGAGTCTCATGACTAATCATCTTGGAAAAAATTATTTAAGATTTGTTAATAACTGGACATATAGAATTTAAGTGAGTATGCAATCACCAACAAATTGGAGTGTATCATATGAGAGGTCAGGGATATTTTCTACACCAATTAACTTAATTTCAAGCTAAAAAAGCTATAGAAACTAAAAAATCATTAAAAGTGCACTTCTTCATGGTAATATTTTGATGTAAGTGGTATTCAAGTTTGAGATACTTACGTACAGTAAAAATAATTAGAGCTATGACTCCTGAATCTGAGAAAAAAATGAAACTAGTTTTAAAGATATTGAGCATGTATGGGTCCCAGATAGCAATTGCATTTTACTTTTGATCAAATCATCTAAAAACTACAGCAAAAAGGTATCAATCTACTTTTAGCATGACTATTAGTACATCTAAGTCATTCTGATCATAGAACACTTCAAATAGATTCCGGTTATAGGATGTGTCTTGTAAAATTCCTAATAGGAACCCAACTTGTCACTGTTTTGTGTTGTAGTTTTCACACAAGGTTATTTAGTAAAGGTAAATAGGACAATTAGAATTCATAAGGTCAGAAAAAACTACTTACATGTATCTATACATACTATCACATTTGTTATGGTATTTGGATACTAAAATACCTATAAATGTCAGTTATCATTAATAATTTGTGACATCTTGTTTTTTCCCTAACTACAAGTAATTGAAACACAATGTATTCATGTAGAACTCTAAGGTCCCATAGTAAAGAATTATTAATAATGAAATACCTAATTCCACAATTTCTTCAATTGGTGGTAATTCACGAGGATTGGGATATCCTAGAAAAAAATGGAAAAAGTATAAAAAAAAGAAAGACTAAATAAAACTTAGATCTATAATTTTTATGACATTGATGCTTTGTGTTTGTATAAAATTGCTTATGATTTCATTTCCTTTTAAATAATATCTTTCATTAAAGTAGAATCATAAAATATTCAAAATTTATATTGAATGTTAACAGCATTCTTCTTCCTGTGCACTGACATTTCCTGTCACAGTACTGTGTGGCACAGCAAGCGAATTTATCATTACTGTATTCTCAAAATTAGATTTGAAGTCAACATGATTCCACCTAATTTTTTTTAAGATTTAGAAATTGATCTAGAATAGAAATGCTTTTTAATATAATGAAGGCCATTTGTAAAAATCCCATAGTAAACATCCTAGTCCATGGTGAAATACCGAAAGTTTTTACCTTAAGATCTGGAACGAGATAGGATGCCCACACTTGCCTCTTTTATTCAACATAATATTAGATGTAGGGTCACAGTAATTAGGTAAAAAATAAAATAAAAAGGATCAAAACTGGCATGGAAAAATAAAATTATCTCTCTTCACAGTTGACATGATCTTTTATGTACAAAACCCTAAAGATTACACACATCCCATGCTGATAGAACTAATAAATGAATTGGGCAAAATTGTAAGCTATGAAATCAACATGCAAAAATCAGTTGCATTTATATATATACCAAAATAAACAACCCAAAAAGGAAGTTAAGGAAACAAATCCATGTATAATATCAAAAAGAATAAAATACTTTGGCATAACCAAGAAGGCAAATGACTCTTACAAAAACAAAATATTATGAAAAATAATTAAAGAAGACATGAATATATAAAAGACATTCTTTTTCTTGGATTAGAACACCTAATATTGTTAAGATATGAATACTGAAAAAAAATCTCTACAGATGAACTAAAAACCGCTATCAAAATTCTGAGGGTGCTTTTTGCAGGAATTAAAACAATCCATCCTGAAGTTTACATGGAGTCTAAAGCACATGGAATAGTCAACACAATCTTGAATAAGAAGAGTTGAGAGGACTCATGCTTCCTGATTTCAAAACCAATTACAAAGCCACAGTAGTCAAAACAGAATGGCACTGACATAAAGGAATACAGACCAATGGAATAGAATAGAGGGCCTAACATATATGGTCAAATAACTGCCTATAACATGTTTCTAAGAACATTCAGTGGGGAAAGGGTAGTCTTTTCAACAAATGGTTCTTGGAAAACTAGAGATCTGCAAGCAAAAGAATGAAGTTTGACCCTTACATTATATCATATTTAAAAATTGACTCAAAAGCTATAAAAAACTAAATACAAAAACTAAAACTATTAAACTCTTAGAAGAAAACATAGAGGGCAAACTTCATAATGCTGGATCTGGCAATATTTCTTGGATATGGCACCAAGAGCACAGGCAACAAAAACAAAAAAGATAAATTGGACTTCATCAAAATCAAAAACTTTGCGCATCAAAGAACACTGTCAATAGAATGAAAAGGCAGCCCACATAATGGAAGAAAACATCTGCAAATCATCCATTTGAAGAAATATTAATTTCCAATATATAATGAACTCCTAAAAATCATTAATAAAAATCCTAACCTGATTCAAAAATGAGCAAAGGACTTGAATGACATTTCTCCAAAGAAGATATAAAAATAGCAAATAAGCACACAAAAAAGATGTTCTACACATCGCTAATCAAGAGAGAAATGCAGGGAGTAAAGGGCAGAAAACTGTACTTGAACAATGATTAAAATAAAATAAAAAAAAAGAGAGAAATGCAAATAAAAACCATAATGAGATATTACTCCACACTTTCTACTTACCATATATTAGGATGGCTATTATAAAAAACAAAACAAAACACAGAGGATAATGTGTTGGATAAGAGGTAGAGAAGTTAAAACCTTTGTGCACCATTGGTGAGAATGTAAAATGGTGCAGCTTCTGTGGAAGACAGAATGGCCATTCCATAAAACTAAACATAGAATTAGCATAAAACCTAGCAATTCTACTCCTAGGCATACACCCTCAAAATTGAAAATAGAGACTCACACAGATACTTGAATGCCAATAGTTAGAGAAGAATATTCAGAATAGCCAAAAGGTGGAAATAACCCAAGAGTCTATTAACAGATGAATGGATAAATGAAATATGGTATATACAAGCAATGAAATATTTTCAGCCATAAAAAGGAATAAAGTTCAGATACATGCTACTCTAAGATGGATGAACCTTGAAAACATTATGCTGTATGAAATAAGCCATGTAGAAAAGACAAATGTAAAATTCCACTTATATAAAGTACCTAGGATGTCAAATTCATAGAGACAGAAATTAGAATAGAGGTCACTGGAGATGAAAGGAGGGGTATGAATGGGGAGTTACTGTTTAAGGGGTATAAAATTTCAGTTTGGGAAGATGAAAAGTTTTGGAAATAGTAGTGATGATTGTACATGAATGTGAATGTATTAGAATGGTTGAAATAGTAAAAAATTAAACAAAAATTGATCTGAAAAAATTAACATGAGAGTAGCTTGCATACTTCTGAACAGGAAGTGTTCTGCCACATATTAAAACATATTATAATGCTACATTAAAAGAAGAATTTGACACTTGCACAGGAATATACAGTTAAGAGAACAGAAAAAAGGTTAGAATACCTCTGAATTTAATGCATGTTAAAACAGTTGGAGAGAAAACGATGTATTCCGTAGATGGTGCTACTTAGCTACTGAATGGGGTGGGTGGAGTAGAGAATAACCCAATCTCATTCCATGTAGCATAATTTTCAGATATACCAATGATTTAAATGCAAAGAATACAATCAGAACACATGGTTGAAATGTTTACATGCATATAATTTGAAGACTTAAAGCTGTTATAAGAAAGACACAGCACTCATAGACATAAAGGAAAAGATTGAAACATTCAACTACCCAGTAATGCGAACCTTCTGCACACATAACTGACCACTGATAGGAGAGTAGTGAAATGAAACATGATATATGTTAAAATCATCACCTAACTACAGCCCCAATCTAATAGAGTAAGTGTAAAACATGAGAGTTTTAGAAAAATATGAAGAGTATAATTCCATTTCTGGTTAAGAAAAATGAAAAATGCGAAACGATGTAAAACTACATAAATAAGAATAGTGATGTATTCTATTAGGAAAGGGTGTATCCTATCCTTTTTATCCATCAGAAATTGATAAAAAGACACCTAGTTATCAACAATGATTAACTCAGACAATGTACCAGAAAAAGAGATGAAGAACTAATTTTTTACTCTGTACACTTTTTGTAATGTTTGAAAACTTACAAAAATACATTTGTATACTACACATGTAACAGAAGTTATAAAAAGAAATCTATATCCAATAGTATAGTATAAAAGTCTTCAAAGAAAAGGAAGTGGTAAAATTAAGGCCAAAAAAGACCTGGAAAAATGTTCATTATGTATTTATTAAGGTCTTTAATTTATAATGAGCTCTTGCAAGCAACAAAAATAATGTATTAGAAACCTAATAGAAACTGAACAAAAGATATGAATAAATAAATGTAGACAAAAAAGATTTGGCTTCATTAATAATGAAAAGGAATGCAAATTAAAATAAAACATGACTTTTTATCCATCAGTTCACAAAGTTCCTTATAATATAAGTATGATAAAGAATTACTGAACCTGGATATCTTGAAAGTGGAGGCTTGGTTGGATGAGTAGGCTTGAAACCTGAAAAAAATAAATTTGATTCCATTCATCAGTCTTATCAGTAAAAATTATGGATTTAATTTGATTTTTTGTTAGAAAGATTGATTATTCCTCAAAATTAAAAATGTGTGTACTTTCTGAACTTTGCATTTCTATTTCTGGGAATATGACCTGAATATATATTTATATAAGTACCTAAGGATATTTGTATACATAAAAATGTTCACTATAATTTTATACTTTATAATGGAGACTCTAGAAGTTAACTATTAAAAAATCATAAAAATTATGTGTTCAGACTAAACACATATATTTAAAATACATTATTCAAGTAATATCATATGAAATGATTTGTATCCTTTTCTGTTTAGTATTTCATAAACACTATTTCATAGTAGTATAATGAGGTCTACTTTATTACCATTATATGTTGTGATTGGTCCTCTTTGTATAGGTTTTCTCTAATAATAAAAAAATTGATTACACTAATAATACCATGAGGAGGTTTGATTTTTTAAAATGATTCTTGTCATTTTTCCTCTTGATAAGTTTTTTTCTCACAGTCCTCTTCTCTTCTTTCAAATATTAAACCATATCAGTGTTTTATGAATCCTTTTTGAATTCTTATGGTCAACTCTTTCAAAAGAGCATATCAACAAAGTATCCTGCAATGCATATACCCACCAGGACCATGTGAGCAAATATGGAATGGTCAATAGGTATAAAATTCTCATGCAGTCTTATATAGCAGCCCACTAAAAAACCATCTCTTCTCCCTCAACTCGCAAACCTCACAGCACTCAACTAAAATACTCATGGAGGTACCAGGTATGCAGGAATTATAAAAAGGTGTTCCAGTTACCATAGTTACGTGCATAATTCTCCTTAATCCTTTAAAGTTTAGGACAACAGAAAATATACAAGCAAATTAGAAGACAGTGATTGAGATTTGAGTTCAAATACCCTCATTAAACAACAGGAAATGAAAGCTGACAGAAATGATGTTCCAAGAGTAAGCAGAACAAAACTAGAGCCCTGAGTGAGGTCAGCTCAGGCTCTTCCCACTATCCCCACTATTCTTCCCACTGTTCCTCATGTCTCTTGTTTCTGCTGAAGCCAAAGAGAAGCTAGAGATAGCAACACCAAAATTAGGAAGACAATTCCTTCCACCATATCAAAATAATTTCTCAAGTGTTGAGCAGAACAGTTGATGAGTAGTTCATGCAAGAAGTCCTCCATTTCATTTCAATAACTAATGACTTTTCCTGCCTTTCAGTTGGTATGAAATTTAGTTTCTGTTGTGAAACAGAAATGCCCAGTAAAGGCACAAAGAGTAATTTTTTGAGGCAGAGTTGGTTGGGGTAGGGGTAGTAGAAATCTAAGCCTTATTCTAGAGATAGCAGAAATTTCCCAGTTCAAGTTGTAGTATATAAAAAGAAATAAACTCGCACTCTGGGAAATAAAACAGTCTTGGACCATGGTTATACATTTAAATGTATCAAAAGATCACTTTTAAGATGAATTAAAATAGCAAAGTTGGTGACACACACCAAAATACATATGAGAAAATAAACACTGTAGACCTACTTCACAAATACCAATTGGAGTGATGCTGTAAGTCATATATGAGCTTTCTTTAAGAGGTTACTATATGCCATGCATTGTGCTAAGTGGTTTAAGTAAGTGCAACCAGTTTAAACTTTATTTTCACCCAGTGAGGAAGGCATTAAATTATTTAAGTAAGTACATTTGAAATTTAAGTAACTTGCCCAAGCTTACATACCTGTTTATATCTGCAGACTATGGCAAATAATTTTAAATCACTAAGAATAATAACTAAAATGCTATAAATATGTTCTTACATCTTTTATTACTAAAGGTGATGAATGAGTATACATAACATGATTTTAAAGGATTCTTGTAAAATATAAGTAGGATGTTACTAAATTTCAATGACTCAAAGTAAGAGGTTTAGAATTGACAGGAATTGACATTGAAAAACATAATAATGTAGGATCAATCACTTGGGAATTACTACTTTCTTTTCATTGATATAAATTGTCACTTTTATTCTTATTTAGGTACAAATGCCCATGTTTCAGTTTATTCTGAAAAATGATTGCTAACCATGTTTATACATGGAAGTACTGAACAAGGGAAATTTATAAACCTACCTGATGTACATAACCTGCTAAGAACTATACAAACACACACAAAAAGTACAATAGCAAAATCCTATATGAACTTTACATTATATGTCTGTCATGGATATAAATACAAGATGGAGTTAATTACTAAAATTGCTTCTTTTCAAACATTTGGTATCACTGATATTTAATGTCAAAGAAATAAAACCTTAAGAAACAAGAAGGAAAATAAAACAATATGTACCTTTAATACATGTTGGCATCTCAGGCTCCCAAGTACTGTTTCCACCACAGAATACTGGGTTGCTGCCATTAAGATAGAAACCCTCCAGGCACTGAAATAAAATCTCATCTTGGTAGGAAAATTTTTCTTTAATTTTGGATACTGGCCTTCCATGTTTGAGTACTGGATAGTCACATTTGACTACTATGAAGTAAAAAAATTCCAGAGTTAATGGAAAGTTGCTTTAACATAGTACCTGGATAAAACAGTGCAAAGTAACAATTTCCAGTGGAAAAGATAAAGAATGAAAGACAAGGTATTGTTTTAAAAAAACTTTTTTGTGTATTTTAGTTCCATGTAAACAGATTTAGAGAAATCTGATAACTTTTCCACCTAGAAAAAAAGTCATTATAGCTTATTGGTTTCATACATTTTTTTTTCTCCTGAAGATTTTGTGAAGAGTACCAGATGCAAATTCTGGGTAAGTTCAAATGCAACTTTTGATACTCTTTACCTCTAGAGATTTTTAAAATTTTATACTGACACTGATTAAAATAACCTGTCTTTTTAGAAAAGCAGAAAAGACTCTTGTGGAAAGGTAATAGTTGAGTTGAAATTTAGAAGTTGAAAAGCTAGCCATGCAAAGAGATGCAAAGAAAAAGTTCTCAGGTAGCAACAACATCCATGAACTAGGTTGTTAAAGAAATAGAAAGGCCCATTGAGTTAGGACCATGTTTTACAAACATTTTGGACTGCAACCCAGACACTTAAAAAGAAAAAACTTTAGTTTGTAAGCTGTTATGTAAGCACTCAAGGCTGAGAAAAAGTTGAAAGTTAATACTTAGACTTCATAAAGTTAATACTTAGACTTCATACCAATGTGCTCTGGTATTGCCCATTCTACTCTGCTTCTCAAGAAGTAAAATGCTTCTCATGACCCCCACATTGAGTTCAGAATCCAGTAATGGGTTTGGAAGAATTTGGAAAAAACAAGAACAACAACAACAACAAAAAAACTGGGCTAGGCAATAAGTACAAGAGAACGACTTATAAGATTAAATCTGAACAATACATAAGGACTCATAATGTACAGCCACTTAAACCAGAAGAGTGCTCTTCCTTCTCACCTGTGGATCTGAATTTCTATCAGTTATCTTTCCCCTTCTGCCTGAAATACTTCCTTTAGCAATTCTTGCAGTGCAGGTCAGGTAATGATAATTCTCTTAGATTTTTTTGTTTTCTAAAAATGTTTTTATTTCATCATCAGTTTTGAAGATTTCTCCCTGATGGAGATTTCTAGGTTAAGTGTTTTATTTTCCTTCCAGCACATGAGCAAATATTGTCTTCTAGTCTCCACAGTTCCTTGGGAGAAATCAGCTGTCATTCTTTCTTAAAGGGGTGGGGCAATGTATTATTTCTTTTCTGCTCTCACTGGATGCTTTTTCTTTCGTATTTTATCTTTGATAGTTTTGCCATGATGTGTTTAGTTTAGTGGGTTTTTCAGAAACTAAAGAATATAGTTATCCTGCTAGGTTTACTAAGTTTCCTGGATTAGGGGGTGGTTGTTTTAGACACAGTTTCAATATTTTTGACCTGTATTTAGTAAAATAATTGTTTACATTGCTGTCTTTCCTTTCTTTCTGAGACTCCAATTACATGTATGTTTAAATGCTTGCCACTCTCTCACAGTTCTATAAGTTTCTCTCTTTACAATCTTTCTTCTCAAATCATGTTAGATTTGCATTGTCATGCTTCAGGTTCACTTATATTTTCACTGTTGTGCCAATCTGCTATCAGTTCCACCTAATGATTTGCCTTCAAATTAAGTTTACTGGATATAATTTACATCCAGTGAAATTCATCCTTTTATTTGCATAGCTGCATTAGTTTTGACAATTACAAGTAATCATGTAATTACTACCACAATAAAGACAAAAAGAGTTCCATTATCTCTTAGTACTTCATCATGCCACTGAGTGATCAACCTTTAGTCACTTCACCAATCAGCCAACCACTGCTCTGTTTTCCATCTCTATCATGTTAGTTTCCCATAATATCATGAATGGGATCATATCCTTCTGAGTATGGCTTATTTTACTAAGCAGAATACATTTGAATTTCATTCCTGTGGTTGCATGATTTAGGAGCTCATTCCTTTTTATTGCTGTATATTTATATCATCATATGGATGTACCACAGTTGTTCATCCATTTACCAAGTGAAGAAAATGTGGGTAGTTTCCAGGCCAATATGATTACAACTAAGATTACTATGAATATTCTCATAGAAGCTTTTATGTGAACATGTTTTAGTTTTACTTGGATTGACAAGTAAAATGAAGTGTATTTTAAACTTCATAAGAAATTGTAAAACTGGGTTCTAAGGTAGTCTTACACTTCACATACTTATTGGCAATGTATAAAAGTTTCAAGTGTTTCATATCCATGCCAGTACATACCATTTGCTAGGTTTTTGTTTTTGTTTTTATGTCAGCCATTTTAAAAGGTATTAAACCACATCTCCTTCTAGTTTAAATTTATTTTTTGACATTTTTAAATTTATTAATTTTTAATTCTCATGAGAAGATATGTTTATCAATTTTAGAGGGAGAAGAAGGGAAGGAGAGAAAAAAAAGCATTAATGTGAAAAACACCAATCAGTTGCCTCCCATATGCACCCCAACTGGGGATTGAACCTACAACCTAGGTATGTGCCCTGCCTGACTGATTATCAAACCCACAACATTTTAGTGCCTGGGATGATGCTCCAATCAACTGAGCCACACAGCTAGAGTTACTTTTGGTTTTTAATTACATTTTTCTACTTGCAATATTGAGCAAATTTTCATTTTCATTTACTTTTTTGTCATTTGTATATCACGTTTGGTGAAATGGGTATATTTAAATCTTTTGCCTATTTTAAAACTATGGATTGTTCTCTTCTTGTTGAGCTTTGAGAGTTCTTCATATATTATAGATAAAAGTCCACTATCAGGTGTGTGCTTTGCAAATATTTTCTCCCTATTTATGACTTTGTTTTCATTTTCTTAAGTCTTTTTCAGACCAGAGGTTTTGAGGGTGGAACATACAATTTACTAAAATATTTAAAAGAATCATGACTCATGGGTTGTATTTAAGAAATCTTTCGCAAGATCACAAATATTTCCTAAACATTCTCATAAAAGTATTACAGTCTTAGGTTTTACATGTAAGTCTATGACCCATTTTGAGTAAATGTTTGAGAATGGTTCTAACATTGATTCTGGTTCTTTTTTTTTCCATATGGAAGCCCAATTTTGCCTGTACTATCTTTGAAAATATCATTTTTCCAATGAATTGTCTCTATACCTGAAATGAAAAGCAACTGGACATATTTGTAAGGGTCTAATTATGGACTCACTATTCTTTTACATTGTTCTATATGGCTATCCTTTTAAAAACACAATGTCTATTCCTTATAGCTTGCTTTATATAAACTCGACATCAGGTAGAGTGTGTACTTCAGTTATATTAAAAATTGTTTTGACTGTTCTAGTTCTTTTATCATTCCATGTAAATTTTAGAATCAGTTCTCTCAATTTACCAAAAGTTCTGCTTGGAATTTTATTGGGATTGTGCTGAATTTATAGATCAAATACTGAGAATTGATGTCTTGATTATATTGAGTCTTCCAGTCAATAACCAATGTATATCCTTTCATATATTAAGGTCTTTTAAAATTTCCTTTATTAGTACTTAATACTTTTTAGCATTCAAACTTTTTTACATATATTAATAGATTTGAATGTAAGTATTTTGTGTTTTGGAGGTGTTCTAAATAGTAGTTTTAAAATTTCAGTTTCTAGTGGTTTACTACTAGTATATAGATATACAATTGATTTTCAAAGGTTGATCTTATATTTTGCAACCTTGCTGAAACTAAAATATTTGGAAGTTTTCACACAGACAATAATGGAATAAGTGAAGAAACTATTGTATTGCTTCCTTTCATATATGTACACACACCTATTTTTCCCCCTTATTGCAGGACCTCTGGTCCAATGCACCTTTATTTCTTCTGGTCCTTTATTTCCTCCTTGGGTGGAAATAAATTCATCTTTCATGATTAAGAATAATGTTAGCTGTGACACTTTTGCCTTTTAACAGGTGGAGATATTAAGTTCTCTTCTATTCCTAGTTTGCTGAGAAGTTTTACTGTGAAAAGATGATGAGTTCTGTTAACTGCTTTTTGGTGGCATCTAATAAGATTATACTGTTTTCTTCTTTAAAATTTACTGATATTATAAATTACACTGATTAATTTTTGAGTTTGAACCAATATTGCATTTATGGAATAAATTTTAATTGGTTATGATATACTATTATTGTTATATATGTCAAGCTTAGATTTGTTGATATTTTCTTTAGAAGTTTTGGTTCTATATTTATTAAGGATATTGTTTATAATTTTCTTGCAATGATACTGTCTGGTTTTGGTATCATGCTAATGTCTACATGAAATGAGTTGAGAAGTATTTCCTCCTCTTATACTTCTTGGCAAGTTTGTTTACATGTGCTATTATTTACTCCTAAAGTGTTTGGTAGAATTCCCCAGGTGAGCTATCTGGGTCTGCAGTTCTCATTGTGAAAAGGTTTTAAGTCTGTTTCTTTAATAAATATAAGACTATACAGGCTATCTTTATCTTTGAGTAGTTTTGGTATTTGGTGTCTTATTATTTTTTTTAATTGTAGGGGCACTTCCTTGGGCTACTGCCATGTTACTAATGAGCAAACTGAGCCTTAGAGAGATCAATAAACTTAGCCACAGTAACCCAACTAAGTGACAGAGCATGGTTTAGAAGTTACAAACTTTTTTTTTCAATATATATTTTCATGGTTAAAAGTGTTTCACTAAAAATTTTGGGTGAAGATTCAATGTTAATCTCATCTCATTCAATATTTTCTTTTCATCCATCCTTCCACTCCTCTCCCCTCTGGCAACCATCAGTTTATTCTCTGTATTTATAGGTCTATTTTTATATGGTTTGTTAATTTGTTTTGTTGTTTTAGATTTGACATATAAGTTAAATCATATCATATTTATCTTTTTAATTTATGATTTCACTTGAAATGAATACCTTCTTGTTCCATTCATGCTATAGCAAATGGTAAAACTTCATCCTGTGTATTGCTAAGTAATAATCCATTGTGTGTTTGGGTAGCACATTTTCTCTAATTTTTATAGAAGTTTTATGGTTTAAAATTTGACATTTACAACTATAAAGAGTAATTTTTATATATGGTGTGAGGTAGGGATTGAAGTATATACTTTGTCACATGGCTTCCAAATTTCTTTAAATATGTTTTATTGATTATGCTATGACAGTTGTCCCATTTCCCCCCTTTCACTTCCCTCCACCCTGCACACCCCCTCCCACCCACATTCCCCCCTTTAGTTCATGTCCATGTGTCATATTTATAAGTTCTTTAGATTCTACATTTCCCATACTATTCTTACCCTCCCCTGTCTATTTTCTACCTACCATCTATACTACTTAGTCTCTGTACCTTTTCCCCCCTTCTCCTCTTCCCACTTCCCTGTTGCTAACCCTCCATGTGATCTCCATTTCTGTGGTTCTGTTCCTGTTCTACTTGTTTGCTTAGTTTGTTTTGGTTTAAAGTGTGGTTGTTAATGATTGTGAGTTTGCTGTCATTTTACTGTTCATATTTTTTATCTTCTTTTCCTTATGTAAGTATCTTTAACATTTCATATAAAAAGGGCTTGGTGATGATGAACTCCTTTAACTTGACTTCATCTGAGAAGCACTTTATCTGCCCTTCCATTCTAAATGAAAGCTTTGCTGGATAGAGCAATCTTGGATGTAGGTCCTTGCCTTTCATGACTTGGAATACTTCTTTCCAGCCCTTCCTTGCCTATAAGGTCTCTTTTGAGAAATCAGCTGAAAGTCTGATGGGAACTCCTTCGTAGACAACTGCTGTCTCCTTATCTCTTGCTGCTTCTAGGAGTCTCTCCTTCATCTTAATCTTGGCTAAAGTAATTATGATGTGCCTTGGAGTGTTCCTCTTTGGGTCCAACTTCTTTGGGACTCTCTGAGCTTCCTGGACTTCCTGGAAGTCTATTTTCTTTGCCAGATTGGGGAAGTTCTCCTTTATTATTTGTTCAAATAAGTTTTCCACTTGTTGCTCTTCCTCTTCTCCTTCTGGCACCCCTATAATTTGGATGTTGGAATGTTTAAAGGTGTCCTGGAGGTTCCTAAGCCTCTCCTCATTTTTCTGAATTCTTGTTTCTTCATTCTTTTCCTTTTGATTGTTTCTTTCTTCCTTCTGGTCCACTCCATTGATTTCAGTCCCAGTTTCCTTCCCATCATTATTGGTTCCCTGTACATTTTCCTTTATTTCACTTAGCATAGCCTTCATTTTGTCATCTAATTTGTGATGAAATTCAACCAATTCTGTGAGCATCCTGATCACCCGTGCTTTGAACTGTGCATCTGATAGGTTGGCTATCTCTTCATTGCTAAGTTGTATTTTTTCTGGAGCTTTGATCTGTTCTTCCATATGGGCCATTTTTTTTTGTCTTGACATGCCTATTATGTAGTGAGGGACAGAGCCATAGGTGTTCACCAGGCAGGGCAACCCAGTCACTGTGTTGTGATGCTGTATGTGGGGCAGGGTTCAGAGAGGGAACAATGGCACTTGTTCCACTCTCTGCCAGATTTCAGTCACTTCTGCTGTTTCCCCCAAGCAAATTGGGCCCTTCTGGTGCTGATTCCCATCTGGGTGGGTTTGTGTATGTTCTAGGACTCTGTGGGTCTCTCCAGTGGACTCTCCTGTGAGGCTGGGAGTCTCTCCTGGCACCTCAACCTCCACAGGTGTTTTCAATTGGTGTTCTGAGGCTTTATTTCCCCACATTGGAATCCTGGGTTGCATGGTCTGTCTTGTTCCCATTTCGTTTTATCTGTGTATGAATGTGGGACTGCCTGGGTCTGCAAGCCACCTTGAGTGCCAAGGCCCTCCACAATCTGCTGCCTCACTGGGTCCACCAGCTGCTGCCCCATGTGCCCGGGGTTCATCAGCTGCTGCTTTGTGCACCTGGGGTTTACCAGTCACTGGTGTTATTTTGCTGTGACCCCTCTCTGCCCAGTTCTGCCCCTTCTATCAGTCTGGATGAATGTGTCTACTTTAACTCCTTGGTTGTTGGACTTCCATACAGTTCAATTTTCTGTCAGTACTGGTTGTTATTTTGTTTCTAAATTTTTGTTGTTCTTATTTTGGTTGTGTGAGGAGGCACAGTGTGTCTACTTATGCCTTCATCTTGGCCAGAAGTCCCCACATTTTCTTTGATCTGTTCATCTATCAATGGACATCAGTAATTTGTTTCTTTCAAAGAATTTGTGAATTTCATTTAGGTTGTCAAATTTATAAGCATAAAGTTTTTTTTGTAATATTTCCACATATACTCAGTAGTTCACATTGTGTAAACTGGAATGCCATTCGGGTTGGGGGTAGAAAATTCTACAACTTAAACTATATTTGATTCAATTTGACAAATTTTAAATTAAATTAGAAGTCAGTTTAACAGGAGGAGGAAGCACATATGAGTTTGTTTACTTATAGCTAAATTATTTACAAAGTGTTTCCACAGTATTTACAAATGAAGAAGATAAATGGAAATATCATTACCTTTACACTGAGGAGGGTCACTACTCCATTTGCCAGGACCAGAACAAATAAGTTTGCTCTCTCCCACAAGTGAATATTCATCTGGTCCATTTGAAGGCTCACAACTATAAGTTACTAATTCATTAAATTCAAATACATTCCTCCAGCTATTAGTGTGTTTTCCATTTTCTATTTTTCCAGGTGATTGACACAAAATCTCTTTAAAAGAGAAAACATAGGAAGAGAAAAAAAGGAAAGATGAAAGATTAAGAAAACATTGGTAAAATCCTATGAACTGTCTTTAGTAATTTTATCAACATGATTTCTACAGTCTAGTTGTGAATCCAATATCCATTTAGAAGGTTCCATGAAAAAATGTATAACTCTAAGTCAAAGCATGTAAAATGACTTCCAAAGAAAACTAATTTTCTTAAGTACCTATATTTATCTATAAGGCCATTTTAAGTTTTGTTCTAGTCATCATAAGAGTTGTTGAAAATTTCATGAGAAAATATACTTGTGATTAAAGATAAAATTCACTGCTAGTCAAGATATGCTTTATAATTTATAGTTATGTCAATTTGCTAATTGCTGGTTCACAATAATACTAAAATATTGTCTTTTTCACTTTCATCCTTATGAGTGTACAAGTGAAAATTTCCAAAAGCTACAAACTGTTATTTTACAACAGACTGACTCTAGGTATCTTCCTTTAAGCCATATTTTGAAGAGATTTATAAAAATGTAAAACAATGTCTTTGTTCTCACTATTTGTTTTGGAAATTTTGTATTGTTTATAAGAAATACATTGCATATTTTAACATGTATCGAGTTTACCATTTTTAAAAATAAATTATTTTAGACACTTCCCAGTTTTAATTACAAAATAATAAATATCAATAGGCATAACCCACATAAAGCAAAGCTCTGGGATCTTTGTTAATTTAAAAACATAAAGGACAAACAATAAGTGTTGGCAAAGATTTCTAGAAAAGGGAATCCTCTTGCACTGTTGGTGGTTCAGTAAATTGGTATAGCCACTATGGAAAACAGTTGTAAATTACCACAAAATATTAAAAATAGAAGTACAGTATGACCCAGAAATTCCACTTATGGGTACTTATTGGAAGAAAATAAAAACAGTAATTCAAAAGGATATGCACAATCCTAGATTCACTGCAGCATTATTTATAACAGCCAAGGTGTAAAAACCACCTAGGTGTCCATCAATAGATGAATGGACAAAAAAGATGTAAAACATATGAGGGCCGTCCAGAAGGTATCTAGCCATTAATATGAAAAATGGAGACATTTACTGAAAAGACACAAGGTACGAGAAACATGGTACATAGGACAATGCCACCTCTGTCCCCTTCAAAGTAGGTATCTTGGGACCTCCCACAATTCTCCAAATCACCATCGGCTGTTCCATCATATTTTTCTGAATCTTATAGATAGTCTGAAATCTCTTCCCTTTCAAAGGTGATTTTAGTTTTAGGAACAGCCGGAAGTCAAGGGTGCCAAACCTGGGCTGTAGCGGTTCCTGAGTCAACTGGGTGATTTGATGTTTCACCAAAAAACTCTGCAGGAGACATGATGCATGAGCGGGCACACTGCCATGATGAAGCTGCCAATTGTGACTGCTTCATCTACCAGTTGCCCATAGCTGCAGCCTTCTGAATCATCTAAATAGTTTCCGGAGAGGAATGTTCACTCTTAACACAAAATTTGATGTAGATTTGTTGCTGTCCTTGCTCAGTCATTTTGAATGTGATGGCCACACAGTACACATGCTCAACTCAATGACATCTACCACCCCCACTCACTAGTACAGTGAAGTCATCATTGTTCATGCATGCACATTCCAGTCCACTCTCCTTGGGTACCAGGTTAGATCAGTGTCACACAAACTGTCCTTGCTATAGTAACAATGGCTGGACTTTTTTCTGGACTGGCCTCATATATCTATGTGTATATATGTACATAGGCATACACATATAAAACATACAAATATATACCCATATAAAATGGAATGTTACCCAGCCATAAAGAAGAATGAAATGTTGCTATTTGCAACAATATTGATGGACTAAAGGGTATTATGCTGAGTGAAATAAGTTAAAGAAAGACAAATGCCATATGATTTCACTTACATGTGAAATCTAAAATAAGAAAACAAACAAAACAAAACAGAAATATACTTATAGATACAGAGAACAAACTGATGGTTGCATAGTAAAGTAGGCTGGGAAGATGGATAAATAAAGTGAGGGGGAATAAGAGGTCCAAATTTTCAGTTATAAAATAAATAAGTCACCAGGATGTAATGTACAGCACAGGAAATATATTCAATAATAATGTAATAAATTTGTACAGTGACAAATGGTTACTAGACTTATTGTAAGGCATATAAATATTGAGTACACTATGTTGTACTATTGTATGTCAACTATACTTTAATTAAAAAAATTAGCATAAGTGGGTCCCAAAGGCCAAAAAGATCAAGAATTGCTGGTCTAAATTCTATAGTGAAATTACTTACTTTCACATGTTGGGAGAGCATAGTTCCAATTCACCTGGTCTCCAGAACGCTTACAAGTTAGAATTTGTTCACCTTTTAAGTAATAACTAAATTAAAAAAAGAAAAGGTTACTGGTTACTATTTTTTACCAGTTATGAAGATGTGCACAATAAAGAGGAAAAATTCATATAGTTATTTTTCTGCACTAAAGTAATTTGAGGAGGAATTTTCTTAAATGACGTAATGAAAGTGCTAACCAAATCTGGTATTTTATTAAACAATTTTGCATTTGAACACACATTGGCCAAGAAATGAATATATCTAAATAAATCTGTCAAAGCTGTCTGTCAGTCTGGTCTCTACTCTCTCTGGCAATCACATATAGGAGTGTCCAATCCACAGCCCAGGATGGCTATGAATGCAGCCCAACAGAAAATCATAAATTTACTTAATGCATTATGAGATTTTTTTTGTGTGATTATGCATCACAATGTATTTAATGTGTGGCCCAGAGATATCAAAAGGTTGGACACCCTACACATGTATTTCTATGCCTTTACTTCTTACATTCTACCCAATCAGGACAACAATTGAATAGAGAGATCAGTCTGTAGAGCTTGCCTGACTGGATTCAAGTCCCATCTCCATGACTGACATGTTATTGGTATTAGGCAAAGTCCCTAATGTTTTCCTTTTTCACTTTCTTCATCTATGAAAGGGGATAATAGTATGTAACTCATGAGGTTGTTTTCAGTGTTAGATGATTGGGTATCTGATACATAATGAGTGGTAGGTAAGTTTTAGCCCTCATTAATATAGGCATACCTCAGATATATCACAGGTTTGGTTCCAGACCATCACAATAAAGTGAATATCACAATAAAACAAGTCATACTTTTTTTTTTATTTACCAGTGCATATAAAGTTGTGTTTGTGCTATACTGTAGACTATTACGTGCACAATAGCATTATGTCTAAAGAAACAATAAGTACATTTTAATTAAAAATACTTCATTGCTAAAAGTGCTAATCATCATTTGACCCTTCAGCTTCACTATAACTTGCTGGTGGAAGGTTATGTCTTGATGTTAATGAAAATGCAGTACATGCAAAGTGCAATCAAGCAAAGGACAATACAATGAGGTGTGTATGTATTTTTTGAAAAATAATCTTCAGCTGAGGATATGTTTATTGATATTAGAGATAGAGGGAAGGAAGAAGGAGGGAAGGAGAGGGATTGGAGAGAGAGAGAGAAAAACATCAGTGTGAGAAACACAAATCAGTTGCCTCCTGTACATGTCCTGACCAGGGATTGAACCCTCAGCCTAGGTATGTGCACCACCAGGGGATGGAATGTACAGCCTTTTGGTGTATGGGATGATGCTCTAACCAACTGAGCCACCTGCTAAGGGCTGCATGCATTCTTTTTTTAAAAATGTATTTTATTGATTATGCTATGACAGTTGTCCCACTTCTCCCTTTCACTCCCCTCTACCCTGCACACCCTCTCCCACCCACATTCCCCCCTTTAGTTCATGTCCATGTGTCATATTTATAAGTTCTTTAGCTTCTACATTTCCCATACTATTCTTACCCCCCCTGTCTATTTTCTACCTACCATCTATACTACTTAGTCTCTGTACCTTTTCCCCCTCTCTCCTCCTCCCACTTCCCTGTTGCTAACCCTCCATGTGATCTCCATTTCTGTGGTTCTGTTCCTGTTCTACTTGTTTGCTTAGTTTGTTTTTTTTGTTTGTTTTGGTTTAAAGTGTGGTTGTTAATGATTGTGAGTTTGCTGTCATTTTACTGTTCATATTTTTTATCTTCTTTTCCTTATGTAAGTATCTTTAACATTTCATATAAAAAGGGCTTGGTGATGATGAACTCCTTTAACTTGACTTCATCTGAGAAGCACTTTATCTGCCCTTTCCATTCTAAATGAAAGCTTTGCTGGATAGAGCAATCTTGGATGTAGGTCCTTGCCTTTCATGACTTGGAATACTTCTTTCCAGCCCTTCCTTGCCTATAAGGTCTCTTTTGAGAAATCAGCTGAAAGTCTGATGGGAACTCCTTCGTAGACAACTGCTGTCTCCTTATCTCTTGCTGCTTCTAGGAGTCTCTCCTTCATCTTAATCTTGGCTAAAGTAATTATGATGTGCCTTGGAGTGTTCCTCTTTGGGTCCAACTTCTTTGGGACTCTCTGAGCTTCCTGGACTTCCTGGAAGTCTATTTTCTTTGCCAGATTGGGGAAGTTCTCCTTTATTATTTGTTCAAATAAGTTTTCCACTTGTTGCTCTTCCTCTTCTCCTTCTGGCACCCCTATAATTTGGATGTTGGAATGTTTAAAGGTGTCCTGGAGGTTCCTAAGCCTCTCCTCATTTTTCTGAATTCTTGTTTCTTCATTCTTTTCCTTTTGATTGTTTCTTTCTTCCTTCTGGTCCACTCCATTGATTTCAGTCCCAGTTTCCTTCCCATCATTATTGGTTCCCTGTACATTTTCCTTTATTTCACTTAGCATAGCCTTCATTTTGTCATCTAATTTGTGATGAAATTCAACCAATTCTGTGAGCATCCTGATCACCCGTGCTTTGAACTGTGCATCTGATAGGTTGGCTATCTCTTCATTGCTAAGTTGTATTTTTTCTGGAGCTTTGATCTGTTCTTCCATATGGGCCATTTTTTTTTGTCTTGACATGCCTGTTATGTAGTGAGGGGCAGAGCCATAGGTGTTCACCAGGCAGGGCAACCCAGTCACTGTGTTGTGATGCTGTATGTGGGGCAGGGTTCAGAGAGGGAACAATGGCACTTGTTCCACTCTCTGCCAGATTTCAGTCACTTCTGCTGTTTCCCCCAAGCAAATTGGGCCCTTCTGGTGCTGATTCCCATCTGGGTGGGTTTGTGTATGTTCTAGGACTCTGTGGGTCTCTCCAGTGGACTCTCCTGTGAGGCTGGGAGTCTCTCCTGGCACCTCAACCTCCACAGGTGTTTTCAATTGGTGTTTTGAGGCTTTATTTCCTGGAGCCGAGACCCTGGGTTGTGCAGTCTGCCTTGCTCCCCAGCTTTGCCTGGTTTATCTGTGTATGAATGTGGGACCACTGTGTCTACCAGCTGCCTTGCTCGCTGGGCCCTGCTCCACAATCCGTTGCCTGTCTGTGTCTGACAGCCACCACCTGTGCTCCCAGGATCTGCCAGCTACTGTATTTCACCCAGGGTCCACCAGCCACTGCTGTTTTTGCTGTGACTGCTCTCCATCTAGGCGCCTGGTTCTGCCCCTCCTACCAATCTGGATGAGTGTGTCTACTTTAACTCTTTGGTTGTTGGACTTCAATACAGCTCAATTTTCTTTCAGTACTGTTTTTGTTGTTGTTGTTATTTTGTTTCTAAATTTTTGTTGTCCTTAGTTTGGTTTGGCAAGGAAGCACAGTGTATCTACCTATGCGTCCATCTTCTGCATGTATTCTTTAAATCAGAATATCTTTCTAGGAATACCTCAGACATATTGGATGAAACAAATAAAAAAATCTGTGGTTTGGAGAAGGTATAGTCTTTGAGGCTTCTTTTGTCTTGGAAACTCCTTAGTTGGCCTTGTATCTTGATTGAGAGCCTTGCTGGGTAAAAGTAGTCTTGGTTGCAGGCCTGTGGTTTTCATGACTTGGAATATTTCTTGTCATTCTCTTCTGGCTTGGAGCATTTCCATTGAGAAGTCAGCTGCTAGTCTTATTGGGGCTCCCTTGTATGTTACTTCCTGTCTTTCCCTTGCTGCCTTTAAGATTCTCTCTTTATCTTGGAATTTTGCCATTTTAGTTATGATGTGTCTTGAAGTGAGACTCTTTGGGTTCTTCTTGATTGGAACAGTCTGTGATTCCTAGATTTGTGTGATTTTTTCTATCATCAAATTAGGGAAGTTTTACATCACTCCTTTTGCAAACAGGTTTTCTATCCCTTGCTCTTCTTCTCCTTCTGATATCCCTATTATACAGATATTATTACGTTTCATGTTGTCTTGAATTTTCCTTAACCCCTCTCTTTGTTCTTTCTGAGTCTCTTTTCCTTTTCTTGCTCTTTCTTTGTGTTTCTTTCCACCTTGTCCTCCACCTTGCTGATCCGATCCTCTGCTTCATCTAGCCTGCTTTTGATGACTTCTGCTGTGTTCTTCAATTCAGAAATTGTATTCCTCCTTTCCTCTTGGCCCTTTAGATTTCTATTTTCCTTTTTTCATGCTGATATAGTTTGCAGTGAGTTTATTGTAGTTTCCCTGTAGGTTTTGGTAGTTCATTGTGAACTCATTGAGCTTCCTTCAAACAATTGCTTTGAACTCAATATCTGATAGTTGACCTGCCTCTACTTCATTTAGCATTCTTTCTGAGGCTTCCTCCTTTCTTTTCATTTGGGGATTATTTCTTTGTCTTCCCAAAGTTTGTGAGACTCTTCTTGTTAGCCTCTGCTTCTCAAATTCATCTGTTCTGAATCCCTGGGTTTATGATGTGAAGTTCTATGGTAGAAGACCTGTGAGATTCAGTGGTGTAGTCTCCTTGATCTCCTGAGTTTGCTGGTCTTGGGCTGTTGTTTATGTTGGTTTTCTGTAAGTCTTTCATTTTTTATTGTTGTTGAGTCTTTCTTTGGTGGGCCCTTTCCTCCAGCTGGTTATCTGAGGGTCACTCCATTGACCACATCTTGTATTCTGTTGTGCAGGTGTGGACAGGTTGTGTTGAAGCTGATTATTCTGTGTGTACAAGGTTTTGAGGCTTCTCTCTTACTCTTGTTCACTTGTTTGTTCTGGGTAATTTCTCCACCATTTATTTGTATTTCCAGATTGGTCCAGGATTGACATTAGTGTGACTTCCACTCCCTCCTTCACCTTCTTCTGTTGTTATCTGTTTGTGGTTGCTTTGTTGGTGGGTTTTCTCCTCCAGCAGATATACTGGTGTTCACAGATCCCACCTCCCTTTTTTTGTGATCATTTGGAGGGGGAAGGCAAAACGGCTTAAGACAGTGGGAGTGTATTTTATAGTATTTAAAGTACCAACCCATAGAGAAGAGATAGGGAATCCTTTATATATGTATAGTGTTAACCATCGTATTTCACCCAACTAGCAACTTTTTAGAA